TAGATATTTAAACTAACAGGTATATCCTGCACAATTCAATTCATTGTATTTAATAATCACCTCAACAAATATGTGTGATAAAAATACACACAAAAGTTTTACAATATAAAGGTAGAAAAGAGAGAGAGAAAAAAATGTGACACGGTGTCATTGGACGTCGTCATGTAGGCCTACGCCTTACATCTTCATAGCATTCTGTTCATGAAACAGAATGCGGTGTTAGAGTTTGCAAATTAATGATCCAGTGATAAATAAACGAAAGCTTCTCCATTTCAGAAGCGTAGAGATTTAGGCCTATGTTATTTAAATATATTCACGGTCGTCTTCCTTCTCTCTACCTACCCATGCCAATTGTTTTTATTAGATGGTAACTAGCGTCGGCGACGGTGATACTGGTATTTCCTCTTAAGCTCCTGTTCTATGACACGTAAGAGGCCGTCTATAATGGGCAAATATTCCGTATTTAGAAATAAACTCAAGTGAAAAGACAGTTAATATTTTTATGCACAAAGAACAAAATAATTATTTTATGATAGCTTCTGTGTTGTTGTCATCGTGTATTATGTTACCATGGCTTATGGTGTTTCTCGTTAAAGGTTCAACGGTGGGTATTACTGTAGGGAGCTACCTATCTGCTTGGATTTGTTCATCGAGCGTACTCGGTGGATGGCCAGTATCTTTTTATACCTATGGTAAGTCAACATAGGCCTACAGTATTAAATTATTTTTGCTAAATGGTTTTGGAAATAGTCCTAACGACGTAATAATAGTTTAACATTAACTCACTATTGATTCAATTAAAATACAAAATACTTTCTTTTTCAAATTATGTTATTCACTATTTTCCCACATGGAAATTATGTACTTTAACGACAGGCTGTTTAGGTTTAATATGGGCTTTTTTCTGGAAATTGTTTGTATTCGACACTGCAAACCAACATCCATGCATATCACAGAGTGAGATTGCCTTTCTGGAGTCAAATTCAAGGACATTTAAATCGGATGTCAAAGTAAGTTGTCATTTTTTAAATTATAAAACAACAAATATATCAAATATATAGTATATAATATTTTAAAAGCAATTAATCGATTGAGTATGCAAATATATAATGTAAAATCATTGCAACCTTTTTATCTAGACCGAGCCTTCCTCGGTTGTCATGAGTGATTTCATTTTAAGTCGATAATTTGATTTATCATTGTGTTCTTGCATAATTTAATCAGGCTACTGAAATTTAATATGGTGAAAATGTTGCATTAATGTAAAATATTGATCGTGTTTGTCTCAATTTATCTTTTAGTTTGAATATGTTCCCTGGTTGGCCATCTTTACTTCACCACCAGTTCTGGCAATTGTCATTAGCTTCTTTACATACGACTTCGGGTTTTATACGATCATTACAGAAATACCAACATTTTTGTCTTGTTAGAATACGTGTTAGAATACGATGTAAAAACAGTAAGTATATCAAAATAAGTATTTTTAATTACGGTAATTAATATAATAGCATAATCATTTCCTCCATGATAATAGTGACTTCCTTTACGAGATGTGGATTTAGCAGTCAAGCTTAGATAAAAAGTTAACCCTTTAGATTTAAATCTAAAATCAATATAAATTTCACGGACTTGATAGATCAGCAAGAAAGCTGAACTGGAATGACAGTTTCGGCAATATTGTCTTTAAATATTGTTACTGTATTATTATTATTATTATTATCTTTTTATCTCAATTCTGTCCCAAATTAAAAAAATGTCCCTGTATATTGTGTTAATTATTACAGTCTCTTATGATTTTCTATAGTACTAAAATATTTAATAAAAAATAAAGATAAACATGAGTTTATTATAGGCTGTATTTATTATTTTTAGCAGAATCTTATATTGCATGATTATACATTAAAAGTGGGTCTGCATGTAAATAACGATTTTCCATGATGACTCCAGTCCTCCACAAAAGAAAACATCTGTCAACAAAACATCAACCACAACATCACAAAAAAAAATAAATAAAAAGAAAATAAAATATTGTCGGCTAAGTGTCTGTCGGCGAATTGGTTGGTGGCGAATTGGCTGTAGGCGAGTTAGCTGTAGGCGAATC